GGGGGCGGGGAGGGGCCCGGTGGGGGCCCGTGGCTAAAGGGAGTCCAACCACCCACCAAGGAAAGGAGGCCCAATCTCTACGCAAACTAGAAATCTCGGATGTGTGTGTGGTACTGGGGATTGAACTCAGAGCTTTTACATGAGCTACATCCCTAGCCCATTTTTTATTCGGAGACAGGGCCTCCCAAACTGGGCTCGAACTTGTGATCCTCCTGCCTCAGCTTCCAAGACTTCTGGGATGACAGTTGTGAGCTACCATGCACGGCTGACAGCTTTTAATAAAATGTGGAATTTGATGGCAACAGGCCGGAGAGGCCAGAAGGGCACTGCTTTAAACAGACTCATTAAGGTTCATTAATAATGTTGCCACAACCTGGCTCGCTCCTACAGGACCTTTAGCAAACTGACAAGCGGCCCTTCTTCCAGACGCATTACTGCTGCCCGCTGAAAAACGACTGCAACAAATACAACTGTACGATGCCTATTTTAAGATCAGTGGCTGAGAGAGTTGTGCAGTGCTCAGCTTACACAACAGTATGGGGAGCCTCCGGGGCACAAGACAGGGATACTGTAACCACTGCCTCTATGCATTGTGAGGAAGACATCTGGTTTGAATTTTAGTATTGACATTTTTGGCAAGCGACTTTACTTCCTCTGGCCTCAGTTTCCCCATCTGCAAAATGACAGTGATACTGGTCCTCACGGGGTGACAGAGGGAATGAAAGCGAGGCAAGGCTCAGTAAGGAGGAGCCGGTCTCTCAGTGTGGGCTGATCCCCGGTGCCGGGTTTCAGGGAGCACTTGGAGGACCCTGTTAGTTACCTCCTCCTTGGAGAACCTCTCTGCCTGCGTGGTCAGCATCTCCCGGACACTGCAGAGAGGAAAGCAGGGCTGAATCAGGGGTCGGGCAGGAAGCCGGGGTCCCCCACCCCCAGAGCCCACTCACTAGTCAGCTTTGAGCACGCCTTTGCCTTCGGGGTCGAACACCTTGAACGCGTTGAGAATGGTCTCCTCGGGGTCCGCGCCTGAAAGGGATGGCAGGGCTGGGAACCAGGAAGCCTGTGCCTGCTGGAGCCCTCGGCAGACACGCGACACAAGAGCTGAAGCAAGGTCAGCTGGGTTTGCGGTTTTTGGAGACAGGGTCTCACTACATAGCCCAGGTGGGCCTCAAACTCACAGTGACCCTCCTGCCTCAGCCTCCCGAGTGCTGGGACCACAGGCGTGCCACCACGCCCATTTGGGGAAGCCAGAAGTAGAGAGATGAGAAATTCGGAGCTGCACCTGAGTCCTCAGGGCCTAGAGAGCCACCAGCTCCGCCCACCCCGCTCCTGCAGACACAGGCGCGCACTCGCGCACATGTGCTTACCCTTTAGCTTCTCCCCAAACATGGTAAGGAACACAGTGAAGTTAATTGGCCCGGGGGCCTCCTTGAGCATTTCATCGATTTCTTCATTCTTCACATTTACACGCCCTGGGGGGACACAGGGGACTCAGAACTGGGGAAGTGGCTGTCCCTCCCCCACATCTGTCATCCTCCTGGGGGATCCGGTGGACAGGGGAAGGGACAAAGGAACGGGAGATGTTTCTGTCCCATGGGGGCAGGGTGAGTTGTTTTTAGAACAGAGTCCTCAGAACCTGGAACCTGTTAGACAGATTTTTATTTATTAGTTTTTTTTTGGTCTTTTGAGCCAGGATCTCCTTATTAACTTCAGGCTGGCCTTGACCTCACTATATAACCCAGGGTTGGCCTTGAAATCCACCAATCCTCCTGCCTCGGCCTCCTGAGTGCTGGGATTTGCACACCAGCTCATTTTTGACTCGAATGGAAAATGCTAGTATTGTAAATTAGTGATGCTGGGTGGTGGCAGATTTGAAAAATCTCCATGCACTCCTCACGATGCTGAAACGTTAAAGCTGAACCCAAAGTAGAATGATCTCAGTTATTCGAAAAACCCAAACCAAACAGGCCTAGAAAGACTTGGAGCAATGAGATCAAAATGTCGGCGGTGGGATGTGGCCTTTCGGGAAATGTTTTCTCCTTTCTACCTGTCTGCATGTTGTAAGTTTTCTATTGTATGCTGCCTCACACAGAAAGTCACCCAGAAGAAGCTCTTTCAAAAGCAAAAGGAAAGGTCTGAGGAGACCAAACTCTTCTTTCCCGACTCCGGTGTTGTCTCAAAGGCGGTGGCAGTTGGCTCTGCCTCATACCCAGGGCGGCAAACGTGTCCCTCAGGTCATTCTTGTCGATGAAGCCGTCGCGGTTCTGGTCCATGATGGTGAAGGCCTGTGGGGGAGGGTTGGTGTCAGCTCGGGTGACGCCTGGAGGGGCAAGAGGGCCGTGGTAGGGTGGGGTTGGGGGTCGTCAAGGAACAGTAAGATGTTAGGTCAAGAGTCAAAGATCAAAGCTGGGCTTGAGGTGCACAACTCTAATCCCAGTATTCTGGGAGGATGAGGCAGGAGGATTGCAAGTTCAAGCCAAGCTTTGGCAATTTAGACCCTGGGGGGGGGGGTTTCAGTGTGAAGGCCGTGGATTCAATCCCCAGTTATAAAAAAAGGACTGCCTTTAACAGCTCACAACATGCTGCTTTTCTCTCTCAAATGACAAAAAAGAGAAAAGAAAGTTTCCACTTAATAGCTAATGTCTCAATATGGAGGGGAAGGTGGGGAAAGGCAGCCTCTGAGACACCTATGGAATGGGATTCACACAGCAGAGCGCTCTGGAAGGTCTGCTACCCCCCTTCCTCCCAAATTCTTTGACCCCAGGGTTCTGCTATTAGGATTTTACCAAGGAAATAACCAGCGATATTAGCAAAGATTTGTGTATCATCCAACCATAGGAAGCTGTTTAAATAAAAGGAGAAAATGTTGATGTTGAATTGCTCAAAGAAAAAAAATGCAAGCACTCATAGGAGGCCAGCAGAGTATAACTTTGTTTAGTTACTGTGTAACCAAAATGGCTTGGACAACACCAGTCCATTGAATTATGGGCACCTACTGTTTATTAACTTCTTTATGCTCTTCAAAAAAATTTCCCTACATTTATTTTAGTTTGATAACCAGAAAAAGTTACTAAAATAATTTCTTGAAAAGGTTCACATATAAACCAGGTGTGGTGGCACACGCGCGCACACACGCACAAGCACGTGCACACATACACAAGTGGAACGGACTCTGGAGGAGACAGACCTCCGTCCCAGGTCCTGGCTGGGGATGGAGGGCAGGAGGGCTCTGTGTACAGGGGAGCTGGGAAGAGGCTGGGGGCACATGGGGCCCTGGCTCCCTCCTGGCCCTGGCCCTACCTCCTTGAACTCCTGGATCTGGGTCTGCTCGAACATGGAGAACACGTTGGAGTTGGCCCCCTCTGCCCTCTTCTTGGCTTTCTTGGGTGCCTGGGGGACAGCAGTGGTCAGAGGAGGCAGGAGCCTGAGTCCAGCTGGACAGCTGCATCCCGGGGTTCGCACAGAGCCCAGGGCCCCAGCCGGTCTGGCAGGGTCAGGCCCTCTAGGCATGGTGAGAGCCCAGGTGAAGGACCCTGCTCTGGAGTTGCGACCCATCTGTGCCCCGCCCCACAGCTCGCCTTTGCTCTGGAGGGGCGTGAGGGCTCCGTGACCGTCCTGGCTGTGGACAGCACAGAGCAGAGTGAGGTGCTCGTCTACCCCTGCCTACTTCTCTCTGAGCTCAACATTTCAGTATTAATTCTCCTAACCACGCCATCAAGGGAATGCAGCGACTGCTGTGCCCCTTTCATGGGGAAGCAGCTGTGGCCCAGAGAGGTTAGGTCACCCGCCCAAGGTCACACAGCCTCAGAAATGCAGAGTCCGAATTGAACTCTGGTCGTCTGACTCCAGTGTCTGTGCCCCTGACCGCTGACCCACCCTGTCCCTGCGCTGGGGGCCTGAGCGGGGACACTGCCCAGACAACACTTGAGGAAAGGTTTTAAATTTGCGAGTTCAAAAGGTGAAAAAAAAAAAAAAAGATTCTTTCCCCAGTTGCCTGAACAAGAGAAAAGAATTACAATTTGATCCTTAAGAGCGCTCGATCCCATTTTGCAAGCCCTGAGAGTTATTGATTCCTCAAGAGGTCAGTAGACAAGCCACAAAAAGCCAACTCTCTCATTTTGTTTCTGAGTCTCCGGGGCTGCTGTTATTAGTGGCCGATCCGGGCACTGACTGGGCTTCCTCCGAGCACACTGCTGGTCCTCGAGGGCACCCTCTCCCACTCGGCTTTGGTCACGGCCACCCCCAGCATCCTCTGGAGACTCACCATGGTGCAGCAACACAGCTCAGCCTCCGGAGAATCTCACCGCTGCCCGGCTCTCCTGTGCCCTCGAACAATAAATACTTCCTCCCCGGGGTTAAAAATAACCCCATGACCACTTTTGGCAGTAATAGGTGAGGCAGGCACCACCTAAGGCCCCCCCAGCCCATGCCGTTCTTCTGAAGTAAGGGCTGCTCGCTGGCTGCCACCGCCGCCCAGTGACACGTGAGACCCAAAAATGCATTCAAGGTTAAAGAGGCCCGGCTGGGTCACCATCAAGGGGAAAGATGCTGTGTGCTCTCTGCCACTGTCGGGCGGGAGACACTTGTGCTTGTCAATTTGGGGAAAGAAAAAGGAAGCGGAGACTGTGAGCCTTCTGTGACATCATCAGTCACTGGCAGCCCCAGGACCTTTGCATCTATGGTCTGCTCTAGCAGGCACACCTGTCAGGCATCCCCCTGGCTCCCTCCTTCCATCTTTGCTTGAGTATTGCTCCCATCTCCCTTCTCTGCTTTGTTTTCCTCCACAGCTTCTACCATCCCCAGCCTCCTGTGCAACTTGCTAATTATTTTATTGGGTGCCAGTGCACAGTCTCTTCACCTGGCAAGGTCCCTTTCCGGTCTCCTCTCCAGCTCCTGCCTCCAGCCTGGTGCCCAGCAGGCTGCTCAGCAGCAAATATCTGTTGACTGACTAAAGGAGTGACAACTCTCACTTACTCTGTGCTTGCCCCACGCCAGGCACCATGTATACGTGTGTGAGGCTCATGGTAAAACGTCCAACCCCTGTGGGTGGGGGACCACGGCATCATCTGTGTCCCCATTTTACAGATGTGGAAAGTGAGGCTCAGAGGCAAAGTGAGCTTCCTGGGGGCACGGAGTACTGGAGCGGCAGTGGAGTGAGGCCATTACGGGCTCTGAGCAGAGCCAGGTGTTGGCACGCGGTGGCCGTGGGCATCAGGCCTGAGCAGCGGGGGCCCTGCCTCAGGGAACATCTGCTCCATCCCAGGGTGTGGCGCAGGGGCCGGGATGACAGCCCCGAGTGACAAGGAGAGTGACAAAGATCCTCCCTCTCTCCTGGTGCTTCTCTGCGAGGCCCAAGTGGCTGAAAACAAAACCGGTGCACAGCCCGGGCCGCGAGGGAGGAACGAATGCAGGGAGGAGCTCTCCGTGCACTGCGTTGACCAAGCCGATCTGCTCCAGTCGGGGTCCAGGCATTGCCCCAAGTGGGGTCTGAGGAGGGGACAGCAGAAACCTCCCGGGAGGATGAGCAGAAGCCCCGACAGGGATGGAAAATAAGTTTTTTCTTATTAGGTTTCCCTGGGTGAAAGGAGGCCTGCCCCAGGCCAGCCCTGAGGACGTGGCAGATGCCTTCTCAGAAACAATCTCAATTTTGGGAGCCAAACCCAAGGACCATTTGTCCCTGTGACCAAAATATAATGAGTGGGTGTCTCCTCTCTTCGCCACACATAGATGGAATTACTCAAACGCCTCTTCTAATGGAATTTCTAACAGCAAAGGGTTTTGGCGTGTGCGAGTGTGTGCATATGTATGTATGTATGTATGTATGTATGTATGTATGTATGTATGAATGATATATATGTGCGTGCGCATGCGCGTACGGAGACAAGGGCACCAACGCATGCGCACACGGGAGACAAAGCAAATCACACGCGCATGTGCAGAGGAAGTTTACTCACGCGCCTACAGACGAAAACACGCGCGCGAGCTGGCACCCACGTATGACGCACACACCTGCGTGTATACGTAGACGGACCAAAAGAGCGTCCTGTGGGGTGGGGTTCTATAACACCCGCCTCGCGGTGGTCTCTCCCGTGGCTAGTTGTATGCCAGGGATTTTCATTAAAGCGCCGTGTGAACTATCACGGCTGGATGAAGAATGTGTCCCAGTCGGCGTGGACGTGGAGCGCACCGTAGGGTGAGGAGCCCTGGGTCGGAGAGGTGTGGGCTCTCAGGGCCCCCCCGAATCGTTCAGGGCCTCAGTTTGTCTTCTGGAACGTGGACAGCATGACAGGCCCACGAGAGAGGTCGGAGTGGCCACAATGGGCGCGGGATGTATCAGGCCTTGGGGTCTATGGAGGGGACTGGAGACCCAGTTTCTCCTTGGCTTGGGTCACCCCTCGTCCCCGATCCACAGACAAGGTCCTGGGTGTGGAGAACCCTGGGAGAATTTGGAGTTTGATTCTGTGTAGACTTAGAGAGTGTATCTTCACTACCAGAGCGCATGGGGTGAGGTAGAGGCCACGTGGGCACCTCCAGGCTGGTGGCTGAGGGCCCTCCCCTGTGAAGCCCCCTTTGCTGATCCTGAGATTCCTGCAGCAAAGAAGTTTCCAACACCCAGATCTGAGTACTACTGAGCTGAAGAGAAAAATAACTGTACACTGGAAGCTTTCAGGAGTCAGAGAGAAGACTGGGCAGAACAATCAGACAGCAACTTCTAGAATAATCGGAAAATAAACCAAGTGTGTTCCTTTCCTGTTGTTGCTATAAAAATATTATCGTAAACCTGGCAGCTTAAACCAGCGCGTATTTATTATCTGGCAGTAGCATTGGAGGTCAGAAGTGGAAAACGGCTGGCAGGGCTGTGTTCCTCCTTCAGGCTCTCACGGAGAATTCGCTCCTGCCTTTTCCAGCTCCCAGAGGCTGCCGGATTCTTGGCCCGCGCCCCCAACATTCCAGCCTCTGAATCCAACCACTCTGACTCATCCACTTCTCTGCCGTCTTGTGAGGACTCTGTGACCGCTTGGTCCAGCTGGCAAATTCAGAATCATCTATCTCAAGTCACATCTTTCTGTTGAGGAAGGCCGCATATTGTGGGCCCCAGGGCTTAGGACATGAGCTTCTGTGGGGAGCCTTTTTGGTGCCTTCCACACCTAAAGAAATAGGACCCTGCAGGAAACACATCAACAGCTTAGTTACACTAACAATAAAGCGTAAGTGTGCTAAAATGCTTGGAAATATACTCCAAAAAATCCCTCAAACCAAAACAGCGAAATCCCATCCTCCCTCAAGAAAACCTCTAGAACTATAAGAACTAAATTCTCATCTCTGTAAACAATTTCCCAACCTGTGGTGTTGTGTGATAGCAACACAAAATGGACTAAATCCAGGAGATACACACATATGAACCTTAAATTTGAGAAAAGTGAGAGTTTAGGTTCAACTGTACAATCTTTAATTTTGAAAATTAGTAATATATTAACTTGCTTATTTTTAAAAGCCCAGACATTAGTTTACTCTATAAAACAAAACCAAAAATTCAAAAATGAAAACGAAAACCTTAGGGAAATTCAAGCGAAGCTAACATGACTTCTGAGAGCTTTCGTCCTTATTTCCACATGAGGAATGGAGTAGGTGAATTACAGGAAGGCTGGTCCCTATTACAGTCCAAATATCAGGCTAGAAGATGATGTTTCAGAGCAAATGAAGGATGCAAATAGTAAACATTCCAGAAACAAATTCAGCAAGTCATAGAAGAAAATGTTCTTAGGCCGAGAAAAGAACAAAATGCGTGGACTGAAAAAACTCCCAAGCTCTAAGAAGGAAAAGATTGAAAAACACACACCTTTCAAGGGTGTCAGTGTATGCCTGGAATCCCAGCACTTGGGAGGCTGAGGCAGGAGGATTGCCAGGAGTTCAAGGCCATTCTGGGCTACGGTGAGTTCAAGGCCAGCCTGAATGGCATAGCAAGACCCTATCTCAAAAAACAAAAATGCACACACTAAAGTATAACATCTCAAAATACATGTATTCTTGGGTCTAGGGATTTAGCTTAGTGGTTCCACCACTTGCCTAATAAGCGCAAGGTCCAGAGTTCGATCCCAGGTACAAAACAACAACAAACAAACCCATGTACTCCAAAGATCAGGAGAAAATCTGATGTGCTTCAAGGAGAAAGAACATAACTCTGGTGAAAGCAATCAAACTAGCCCCATACTTCTTGGCCAGAACTGAAGGCAAGGACACAGAGGTCAGAGAGCTTTGATGCAGAGACTACACGTCTGTAAGGTATTGGTCACCTTCTATAGTGGGGACAAGAGGAACATTGGGTTTCGTTGCTCCTTGTCTGGGCCTGATGTGGTAGCCCAGAGCTTTGTCAGTGGACAAGCCAAGGTTTGGATCTATGCCAGCTTGGGCACTTTAGGTAGACTTCGCCTCTCTGAGTCTCGGTTTTCTTGTCTGTAAAATGGGGATAACGTATTCACATCATTGGGTTGTCATGAGGATTACATCCGGGCAAAAGTGCTCAGTAGGTGTTAGTCACTGTGATTATTTTGGGATGTTTGTTCATTCTTGGAACGCCCAGTTGGGACAGGTGATTTCTGGCTTTTTCCCAGGCCTGGGAAATGTATTCTCATCAGGTGGCAGGGAGTCTCTGCCCAAGGACGATCCTCTTTCCAGTTGCCCTTTGGAGAGCCATGGAGTGCCTCAGGGTCCCAGACTCACTGCCCCCGTCTGAACTTGTTCCAGCACCGTTGCCGGATGTGCCTGCTGTTAATAGGGAGGGCGTGGAATGAGGGAGATAGATGGTAAGGAGCTTTTGGATCCCTGTAAACCTCGGAGCCCCGCTTTGCAGATCGTGTTCCTCATGGCTTTTCCAAGTCAATATGCATTTCAGTTTCCAAACAACATGTGAATAAACAGGCAAGATAGAATCTGTGTTCTTAGAGCCAGGCTAGCAGAGGGCTCTAAGAGGCTGGGGGGCTAGCAGAGGGCTTGGGGGGAGGATCTGAGTTTAGCATAAGAGCAAAAGCAGAAGCAGAAAGTCCAGGTAAAGCAGAATTTGAGGTAATGAGTGAGAGTTGGGGCCCTTTGTGGGGTGGGGTGTTGTGTGTCTGAAGATACTATGCCAAGCATTCAGGGGCTGTGCCCTTCCTGTGTGCGTGCTGCATGCTTGTTAAAAATTAAATTGACACTGCGTGCCTCACAAGCACGAGGAGTTCGATCCCTGACACCAAAATAAATAAATTAATTAATGAAATAAATTCAGTTCTGGGAATGTGACTCAGTGGTGCAGCACTCGCTTAGCATGTATGAGTTCAATTTGGCCTCCCAGACTTCTCTGCCTCACACACAG